GTCCAGGACGGGCACCTTCACCCCCAGGTGCCAGTCTAAGGAACTTACCTGTGGCCTCTCCAGGCCCCTGGGTCCACCTGTTGGGGGGTGGGCATGAACTTGGAGGGAATCACCCTCCCTAAGGGAGGACAGGAGACTCCTGGGCCCAGGCAGTGGAATTTCTGGGAAGAGGGTCCATTCCCCCAGCTCCACCCGTCATGCCCAGTGAGAGGACAGTCCCTGGAGGGGAACTTGCTAGACACCGGGGGTAGCCCAGGTAACTCCTGCTCCTGCTCCAGACCCTCCCCCTGCCTCGATCCTGAATGGAAACTGCAAGTGGAGACAGCCTCCTCCAGAGGAACCTTAGTCTGTCCCAGGAGAGGAAGGACCTGGGACCCTCTGGGGCTTCTGAGGACCTGGAGCGCCGAGTCCCCGAGGATGGGGGACCCAGAGATGCCTGCTCCAGCCAGAACCAGGCTGAGGCCCGCTGGGCGAAGGCTCAGGTGGCCTGCAGTGTTCCCACTGTGGGTCAGGCTCCTGGTCCAGCTTTCCAAACCCCACACTTGACCCAGGGCCCTCTGCCACCAGCTGGCTCCTCACTGGCCACCAGCCTGGCCCTCACTCCTCATATCTTTCTTGTCTTGTTCTGCACTGGAGATTGAACCCAGGAGCACTTCGCGTCCTCACGTCCTCAGCCCTTTTTATTTTTTATTTTGAGTCAGGATCTTGCTGAGTTTCTTAGGGCCTCACTAAATTGCTGAGGCTGGCCTTGGACTTTTGATCCTGTTACCTCAGCCTCCCGAGCCTCTGGGATTACAGGTGTGCACCACGGCACCTGGTTTTTACCACACATTTTGCTGGAGATTTTTAAATAGGTAAAGGGGGTCCAAATGGGAAGCACCACTCCCAGGCTGGCCACTTGACTTGTGACCCCCCCTTAGAAAATATTTTAATTAGCCTTCCTTCCTTCCTTCCTTCCTTCCTTCCTTCCTTCCTTCCTTCCTTCCTTCCTTCCTTCCTTCCTTC